ATTTATTGTGTTTGTATACGTAGCCTGTTGTGTCTTAATGATGGATTAATGTGCTAGAAGAGAACAAACACAAAGGCCGGTGATTGTCAGAAGCCGAGGCTTTTTTCTAGCGGAAAATTTATTGCTATTCGAGGGTATTTAATAAATGCGGAACAATCAGGAAGATGGAATTTTCGATGGAATTTTTATCAAGTTTTTTGCACTTTTGCTTCAATGTTGCTGCAGTATAAACAAGCTGCTAGCTAATAACGAAGGTGTCTCAGACCCTCTGTACGAGACGAATATTCATTGAATTTCGAAGCCGTTTACATCGCCTTATTCATTCTTCATTATGGTTAGTTTCAATTACATATTCATCGTATTTTTTTGGCATTTCAAGTTGCTTTCGTTTGTTTGATTATCACAGCCCAACATTCCAATAGGATTTATGTCGTCCTTTTTAATTTACATATTTAATTTCCAATGCCAATTTATCCTACACTATTTGTTGCAACTTGTTTTCATTAATCTGTATCTTTAAGACTCCCAGGTATCATTTTCATTGAACGTTATTGCCACTAACGTAAAAATTGTTTATTGTTAGGCTGGACAAAATGAAAGTATGAAACTAAGGTCGACGTATTCTAAAAGACAACTAACTGATTTGGTTCACTATATACAGATATAAAAATGGCTTGTACAAGGACAAAACCGATTTATTTGTCTTTTCTAATGAATGAAAGCAAATAAGCCATCGATGTAGAAGTTAAACTAACAATGTTTTAAAATTATTCATGAGTTACCTTTCAAATTATGAATTATGAAATGATTTTTTTTTTCTAATAGCACTTCATTCATTTGTATTTTAATCAATAATAAAGCCTAATTATTAAAGTTTCTCAACTTAAGTATCCGTTCAATTAAATATTGTCACTGGAAAAATTTAGTCCTTTTTTGGAAATTGTTTATACGAGTGATTGTATGCAACTATTTATGTGGAATAGAAAAATTAAAGGTTGTTATATAAATCTTTACAAATTGTGTGATATTTTAGTTCATAGAGTGTAAGAAGATGAACGCTCCTCCCTTTTTGAATTGGCAACAACTCGCAAACCAATCGTTCAACAAAAAGTATAGAACCAAACGTTTTTTGCTTAAACTATTTATTTTTTGGAAAAATTAATTCAAAATGATAAGGTACCATAAAGATGTGATGTTTTATCGAGAATAAAATTTTTCAAATTTTTGTTTTGTTTTTTGAGTTCTACAAAATTTTTAATTTTTATTAAATGGGAACCCACTATTAAACTACTTTTCTCATGAAGGTTATGATCTAAGGATTACAACTATCTACTTTATATTTAATTAAAACATTTGTTTTTTACATAAATTGCAATTTTGGCAAAAAAATCGCATAACTCAAAAACAAAACAAAATTCCGATCACATTTTTTATTCCTTATAATGTAAAGTACTTACTTTGAATTGAATAAAAAAGATAGAATATGGATTTAAACTTTAATTTCAACGTGCCATTTCCAAAAATGTAACAGTATAATTTACTTTTTTCTTTGATTATAGCTTGTCTTTAGTGATTGGTGACCACCTAAGCGCAGGGCATTGATCAGCTTACATAATTATCGACTATAGTTTCAAAAATCAGAATTTATGACATTAGCTTGGATTTTGTGAAGAAAGAACATGAAATTCACTAACTTTAGTAAATCTAAGAAATACATTTAAGAAGGGCCTTTGTGAAAAACTTCTGTGTATTTTGCAAATAAATAAAATAAAATTGTATCAATTTGGGGTAGGGTTTAGAAAAGCTTTTTAGTGTGTTTTTGACATAAAGGATCAAACTTACTACAGACTTATTCATGATTTTCAGTGTCATCGTCTTAGCTAGAAAATGAAAAGAGAATAAACATTTCAAAGATTCCTAAAGTCCCTAGGTACTAGGTAGTGTCAGATAAATTGAACTGTTAAACATAAATTAGCAGAAAACTTTTGTTGTCATAAGTGCTTCGAATAGGAACGAATATTTATTAATCTTTTTGTCCACTCTGTAGTTGAAATTCAGAGACTGATTTATTTTATTTATTTATTTTATTCAGTGCGATCTCTGCTACAGTAGCATAATAAAGCGTGTGGCTGTTTTTTATGATGTTATTTTGTTGTTAATAAATAATTTAGCCAATTTTTACAAACTTTGACTAGGCGGATTTTCTAGATTTCCCGCCAACATTATTGGAAGAAAGTTGTAAATCAGCGATTTTCATTTAGGTATACATACTTATTGACCATTTATTTTAAACGAAGCCTAAATTAATTCAATTAGTGACTATTTGAAGCGGATTAATTTTATGTCTTCCTGTGCACATGAATTACTTATGACCATTTTTATTATGGACATAATTTTCATCAATTAATAAAACTAGCTCTATTGCTCCGTAATAACAAATTAACTCGAGAAAGTTCCACCTTAACAAGAATATGAGTTACAAAGTTAGCTTCGCATACTTAAAACCGTAATTCTGACCCTAACATAATCATAAAGATTTTATTCGTGCACACACGTTACCGTTGCCAGTTAATCTGTTCATATGCCTTTGATGTTACCAAATCTAATTTAAACTCGGATTTATGTCCCAAAACTAATCACTCTTTTATCGGCTGCTCTCGGTGTACTTCCAGGGGCCAGCGGAAGCCTTGGTCTTGTGTTTCACTCTCATATTCGACACTAGTTCATAATGCATCCGTTGAGGGTAGTAAAGCTGGAACAAATAGCTGAAATAAATATTGCATTTGTTCCATTTGGCCTACGAACGGGTTAATAGCCGCCTTACCACTTACGTCCGTCGTCGTCTTTGTGGCTTTATTTTACGTTTTCAGGATTGAAAGCGGTAAATTAGACTTTTCAGCGATTTTCTGTAAAATTAATTGGTCGAAAGTTTTACCAATACAAGTAATTATTTAGGTCAGTGCTTTCATGATAATTGTGGAGATTAGAAATATGGGTTCAGGGGCAATGTTGTAAGACTTGAACCGCTGGAATAGATGATCATTAATGCAGGGATTTAGGATTGCTTTTGTAGTTGGCAATAAACGGTAAACAGCAGCTCTGACACCATCGTGGAATGGATGCGGGGCTACTACTGTGATTATGTTCGTGTCACAATCATTACTCTAATTTAGCTAACGTAGAAATGAGGGTGTCTCGCTTACTTCTGGTCTCGCTTCGTTGGAAAGAAAGGAAGCGATGAAATTGATTTTCTATGTGTGAATTGTTTGTGCAGTTGTTTTATTATGTGCTAATTATTGTGACAATAATCATTATTAAAGCACTTTTACGCTTAAAAATTGACTCATGTTGTGGAAGCGAGACTAAAAAACAACAATGTGTGATAAATATTTGATAAATTACTCAACAGGAACGTTGGGTCGTTGTAATCCAGCCTCTGTGGAATAAAAAAAATGTCTCTTTGCAACATTTAAGAGGAATCTTCGGAATCTGCTCGGAGTTGTCGCAGGACCGTGACGTAAAAATTGCCCTATTGTGATGGGATACAAATGCGAATTGGTCCGGTAAAAATGCGATTTGAGTCGATTTGTCGTAAAACGTCGGTGGCTTATGTAGGATTTGTGGGGTTTTAGGTTGCATCCTGGTCGTTAATAATAACTCATTTACTTTTTATTAAGTACATTGATAGGGCACGTAATAGTATAAGTGACAGGTCGCGTATAACAGCTTGTTCACAGTCATAAATTTCGGATTTAGTTCGAAAATTGGCAAATGTTCGATAAATCAGTCGATTTGGACGCATTATTGTATAAGCGGTCGATTGTACAAAATAGTGCCTATTATTTCAGGAATATAAATTGAATTAATTTCATAAAGGGGAGAGATCGGCACGTAAATCATTTTTTATTATTTTTATTCACACCCTCGTTATACTTTAAATTTTCAAAAATGTTACCTGACGTGTATAATATTCCGAGTGGAAATTTTATTTGATTTTCCTGGTTTTTCTCGTGTGTACTGAGGTGAAATTATAAGTCTTGTGTACGTGGAGTATTTAAATATTTAAGCTCGAAAAAGGAGCAACTTCAAACGAAATGCCAGCTATTTTTCAGGTCGATAATACTTGTTTACGTACCGGCATAAAAAACATCACTTTGAACATTTGTTTTTTAATCAAAATTACGCAAATCTTGGAATCCATTTACGACCACGCTCCAATTTTCTTGGAGGAGGGACAGAATTGATTTTATCTTAATTACATATTCATGCCTGTCAGATGCTGAAAAATTACAAATATGCAATGACTATGTTTGTAAAGAAAATTCTTGCCGTAACAACGACAATTCTTGTTTCAATAATGAATATTAATAATTTGCGTGTTTATGTTTTTTACCGTAATGTATTATGGCTAAAAGTAAAATTGTGACACTAATTACTTCATCAATTTATTACTTATTTATTAGATATTGGTAAGTAATGTAGGTATGCTGATATATTTTAACTTTGTCCTTAAAATAAATAATACAAAAAAGGTTGATGAAAGTGTAATGCTAATAGTGTACCGATATCAATAAATTAACTTTAGCTTTGGAAAAGTTACATGAATTTTTGCTACTCGTATTCCGTCTTTGTAGTGTTTGGTGAGTTGAGGTCTGTAAGAAAAATCATGTATGGTTCGACGGGTAACAAACTGAAATCAAAAACTATTCAATAATTCTTGTCTTTTCCTCAAAATTTACGCCTTCTTTAAAACAAATAAAATTTGTAATTAAAACTGTCGACAGTTCGTTTTATAGTTTTAGTATTCGGGGCTTGTTCGGCGTTCTGCAGCTGAATAATTAAAACAGGCAAAGGATAAATAAATATTAACATTCGGCGCGCTTTTCTTTTATTCTTAACCCGCTGTGACGCGAAGCATAATTATTCTGTCTCTGAAACGTCCATTTATAAAACTGTCTATGTGTTTTGTATTCGATTAACACAATTTTTTATTGTTTCAGGCTATTCTCCGTCATCATGTGGAAGGTATGTATCCCGGAATAGAATTGAGATTCTTTTTATTCTTGTTGCTAGATTCTGTTCTATAATACGTATCTCAGATTTTTAAAATGCAGTGTTGACGATGTATCATATTGCACGACATTAAATATATTCCGGTGATGTTTGCGCTACCGTAGACAAAGGAATAAGTGCATACCAGTATGAAATACAAGACATTGTCGACATTCATTATTAGCGAGTCTCACAAACATTGAATCTAGGAAAGATATCTAAATATTAGCATCATTGTATGAATGCATAATTGGAACACTTCGCCTTGCATTATTCATAAAATCGTTAGGTAATTTTCACGTTTCGACGCTTAGTTAATATGCAAACTTGAAACTCAAAGATCTTCAAACAGAACGGGATGATCATCTGTTTCGGCGAATGTGTGCTGCAGCGAAATGCAATTTTCCATGAGATAATTAAGTTATTTTCAGTCTTAATGCGTAATAAAGAAAGAAATTTAATGTGAAAAATTTGCCACCTGCGGTAGTAGCTAAGCTGCTAGATTGTCCAAACAAACTTTTGAGTCAACAAGATTGTAGACGCTGAGGAGAAAAAATGCGATTGAACTTTATTATAATGCGGCTGTTTACTTTGAAGCTTTCAGGATACAGCGTTTATATTAATCAGGATCTGATTCACGAAGTTTCAGCTTCAAACTTTTGACGTCTTATTATTATTAAATATAGGGAAAAAGATTTCCATAAAGCCACTTAAATCCTATACGGTAAAAACTTGATATACGGAGTCGTGAGGTAATGAAAATTTTAAATTATGTTAAAATATAAATCCAGTTTTAAGGGAAATTATTCCGAGCCAAATCTTTTGTATATGCCCAACTTTGATGTAGATCTGGTATGTTTTCATATGCAGCTTTATTAGATTGAATCAAATTACCAAAGCACAATTTGTTCCAAAGGACATAAAAGCATTTATTTGTGGTAAAAAATCTCTAATAGAAACAGGTCGAACAGTTTCAACTTGTCTGCTTCATTTGAAGAGTAAAGTTGCTCCTGTCAAAGGACTCGATGAAATCGGCTTTCAATTAGCACACCGTGTCCTGTAATATCCTAATGGACGTTACTGTCAATTAGCAGTCATATTATCTGTCCATTTGCATGAAACTCTGTTTGTGGATGTTATTCTCTCGTATGTTATTTGACTGTTACAGAAAGAACGCTAGTCTTTTATTTTATCTAAAGCTCTGAATAACAAGAAGCTTCAACACGTTTTAAACCTTTTCATATTTTGAATCTATAATATTTGCTTTAAACTCACTATTAATGTGATTATAAAGCAGAACCACTAGTATCATACATTTAAGCTTTTCATGTTTTCTTGATGGCAAAGAGCGCTTTTAAATTAAATACACTACAAATGGACATAATCCGCTTTTGAAATAATCTACTTTTAGGGCTTCAACACGTTTGTAAATGTATGGTTCATTCATTCGCGATTTTTTAACAGACTAGCTTGACCATAAGGTTTTAACCAAAACAAGCAAATGAAAACATCATTTAATAAAGTTGATTTATACATCCTAATTGCTTTGCTTTATCTTTGTGCTGTAGGTATACCTAGATAAAATAATAGATAAAATACAACCAATTCCAACTAAATTGAAAAAAAAAGCAATTAAATGTAATTTTCATTCGAAAAAGTAACGCTGTATTTTGATGCAATTGCAAATCCTTTCTCGAAAGACAATTTTCTCTCGCGAACGAAATCTAAACATGTTAATGATCCGAAATCTCTATTCCGCACCTGTGATTTTAAGGAATTTTCGGGACAGTTGAAATTTACTTAATAACTGTTATTACATCCAGCAGCTGAATTGCTATCTATGTACCGTCATTTGGTACTGCAGCTTAAAATTATCCCAGCCATTACTTGCACAGGGAAAATTAATCTAATTTGTTTCTGCATCGACCATAGTGACCCCAATTAATCACAACAATTCGATGTGGTCGATTACGTCTTCGAACGATGAAAGAAAGTACAAAAATTCATTAACTCATTTTTATATAACAAACTGTGTTTCGAGCTGTATTGTTGGTTTTCTGAATAATTCTTACAAAAAGGTTGAAACATAATTAGGAGATTAGGTCGAAATTTTTTATTTATTTCTGAATTCTTTTGATCACGGCAACTGGATTTTATGCTTCAATAATTTTATAGATAACACTTTGTAATTACTACTTTTCTGCAGATATGCTTAGATCTGGTGCATATTAAATCAGCCATCATGATATGATCTTTAATTTTGTGTACACATCGTTGCGTTCAAATCGCGTCATTTATAAACCTAATAATCCTAATTAAGTAAGTCTAATCATGCTATACTTATTGACTTTAAGTTCTTTTGAACAACTAATTCTAAAAAAAAACAAAGTTGTACCTCTTTTATTATAATGAAAGAAACTTCGTTGGAAAAAAAGTAAGAGGAACATTAAACATTCTTTCTTCATCCACAAACTTTGTTTTTGTGATGTTTTTTTCAATGAGGAACGGAAAAGAATCTCTCACAAAAATTTCTGGGGTGGCTTCGTGCGAATTGTAGAGTTCCTTTTTGTTGAGCAGCTTCTTTACAATCAGTAGTCATTTTAACAAATTCCTAGCAGATAATGCAAAGGTGCCGTTGTAGTGAAAATACAAGATCTTAAAGTTTCAAAGTTGGTTGGTAATTAGCGTTGCATAACACTGTTTCTCATTTTCCTGTGATCTTATTTAAACTTGTGAATGTGTGAACACATCTAGTCTTGTCTAGTTTCACATAACGTTATTCAACGGAAACGGAATTCAAAATTAATTCGAAACAGAGTTCGAAATTAATTCGTAATAATTATTACTCAACGTTTTGATCATTTCTATTAAAAAACCGTGCTTATTATATCAATTAATTTGAGTAAAAAAGTTTTAAACTTGCAGTTTGATTTAAATTACTGAGTCTAGTTTTGTTGTTCAAGCTAAAGTAAATTTACGAGAAACATCGGTGGTGCTTTCACAATAAGAGAATACTTTCAACAGTGAAACTTTGGGTTTCAAACAGGCAAATAGTATTTTGAAGTTTATTCTTGGATGTATTGTCTATACTGAATCTCATTTAATAATTATTAGCTACGAAAAATGGAACGTTTTTATCGCTTTTATTATTCGTGACAGTTAATAAAAGAAGCTAATGGAACAGTCTTCTGCAGATTATAATTGAAATATTAATGGCGGTTTAAAATATTTCATTTCCTCACTTCTGAAAAATGTATAAGAATTTAAAGGCATCAAGGGCTTTTGTGTTTATGTAGCTGGTTTGCAATTTTTCGTCGTCTGTTAAAACTAGTGCAAAAATGGTGTGTGCCTGTCGGATAATTGTCACCCATCTAATGATTCAGTGAACAAACACGATAAATTATGGACCGTTCACGTCCGATACAATCCGTAATCCGTTCATTGGAAAATATAGTGAAGACCTCTGGTTTGTAGCTAGTAAATCAGCGGGGCAGCTAACCTAACCTGAATATATGAGCTTGAGCCCTATTCCGATTGAAATGTCGGGAAACGAAGAGAGAGGCTTGACCGAAACTTCCCGTGAATGCGTAACAGGCGGGATATATTTTCGATCGACTATTGTACTTTAATGTGTCTTGAAAAATCCTGTTGGATTGTCAGGCGGTCTTATTTCTCCTAATAAATGGATGTATAAGGTCTTAGGCGGTGATTTTACAAGGAAGCACAAAACCCACAGATCTGCAAGTAAATGTGCAGAAGCTCGACTTGTTTTTGTCTGGAAAAAGTCATGTTGGAGATTTTACATTGTTATTTTTTCACAAGGAAAATGAAAGTAATAAAATGTTTTATGCCACAAGAAAATCCCACATTGTGCCTTAATAATTTCAACAATCAAACTTTTTCGTGCTGGCTCTAAAAAGTTGTATTAGTTTTTATTCAGCAGTTTGCTGACTGCGTCATAAACCCTGATTCTTGTCAGTCAGCGTTTATTGTCTCTAATAAGATTAAATTAATTGTACTTAAATACAACCCAAACTTGCTTAGTCTAAAAGGGTTATTTTTTTGTTATTTTTTTTAGGAAAGCGCAGAATCACAGTGAATATTTTCTGAACTGTTAAATATAATTAATTATTACTCTCGTTTTCGCAACTGATACTTTTTCTGAGGACTTTTCTTTGTTGCAAATAATTGGCTCTACTTCAACTACAAATGTTTTTTTCATTTTTATCTCATTTTCAGATAATTCAGGTTAATAATTTTTTATTTGAAATTTTCATGACCCTTTAACTTTATTTTGTCGCTCAGGATCTCACGTATTTTTACAGTCGTTTTAATAATGGTGTCCCACTTGAGCAATTGACAATAATGTCTGATTTATTACACTAAAAACAATTCCTCAGAATTATTATTAATATTAAATTTGTGTTTACTGTACTTTTTATATCTATTGCGAATTTAAATTAAAACGTTTGTTTTAATTGTTACGTTGAATGAAATGATATACTGGAAATGGTAGGTACAATATTGTAATGATGCTACTGAGAATGTTGTCAGTGATGACTTTTGTTAATTGTTGTAAAAAAAATTGGTTTTATTTAATAGAGTCCTGGTCAAAAAAATCGCAACACTTTAAACTTTCTATGTTTCATCTTCATTATTCAAGGTTTTCAAAAATTAGAGTATTTGACGGATGAGTAACAGGAAAGTAATCCACTATTCAAGGTTTACATTTATAGCACTTCGTTTATAAGAGTTCGTTTTGATTTAGACTTACCTACATTACGTCTTACTAAGCATTTCAGCATTTTCTTCTTCTTGCTGTTTTCAGTGAAATATAAACGCTAGTTAGTGGTTCTTCTGATAGATTTTTTAGGGGTTATTAGAGGTTGTACTATGAAACAATAATGATTTATATAAATACTTTTTGAGGGTAAATCTAGCACAAGTAATTTTGTAAGTGTTGGGTGTAACATAGGTATGCAATAATGCGCTCTTGACAATGTTGGAATTTTTGTAACGAGGGAGTTTAAGCAATAAGCACTTGGTTGCGCAGGTAATCCAATGTGGTCGACACAATAAAAGTTACTATGTACAACCCCTGTTTAATTATATCTTTGCCTTACAGTCATTACACCAGTGCCACATAACAGATAATGCGGTAATGTTTATCGTCGGTATTGTTTTTGTATGCGTTTTTAATGTGGAACCGAGATATTAAAACCTTGATTAAAACGGATGTTAACATAGCTATTAAGCTATCATGTGACAAGAATAAAACTTGTATTTATCATTAAAAATTTAAATTACAAACTACGGATTATTGACTCCGAAACGTTTTCCAAATTATAGTTGTTAGCTTAGTACGAAATAGAAGTTGAATGTTAGATTGGTCTATTATCATATATAGGGTACACAGTTCGTTGGTACATACATAGGCGCACGAACTCTTCGACTGACTTTTTATTATCTCAGCTCATCAGATTAAATGTTTTTTCTTCGCCTAATAGAATCTTGGACGTATCAATTGTTAATAAAGGGAAAATGATAGGGCTGTTTCGAGTATCGTGACGCACGAGACAAGAAAATTAGCACTTAATATGGTTTTGGTACGTGGGATTTTTCTGAGAATGAAGCGAGTCAAAGCAGCTTATTAAATACGAATCGGCCAATATAATAATAAAGGATTAATGTCGCCTTTTAGGGAATTTAATCCACAAAGTTAATTAAAATTGTTAATTTTGGTTCCATGGCAATTTCGAGCACAAAAGTTGTCGCCCTATCCACGATTTAATTTATTTCAGGAAATAGAATCCTTTTGAATTTGAAATTCGTATACAAATCACAAAATGGCAATGAATTAGTTATAACGCGAGTCGTTTCCCGTTTTGGATCTCGCCTTCGCAACCTCAAAGAAACACACTTAGATATCAAATCGAATTAATTCCTTCGAAAAATTCCCGAGTCAATCAGCATATTTTCCAGCGCTGAAATGACCTAGCTGAATGAAATTGCATGTAAATTCATTTGGGGAAATTAAAATTGGAAAACGATGACTAGTGATCGTGAGCTCTCAACTTGAATGAAATCAATGCAATTTTCACAGTTCATTTGCTACACTCGATATGAAATCCTTCCTGTTTACACTTGACGAAACGCTCAAATTCAAAATTAAATTCTAAAACGACTTCTAAAATGTTGCCTCAAACTATGCAGGGAAGTAATTCGTTACTCGAGAAATGCCGCTTACCCAGCAGAATTGTTGCAGTATTACGAGAGTCTTGCACAAAACGAATGCCAAAAACAAAGGCTTGAAGATTATATTAAATTTCTTTGAGGTTGAAAGGTTAATATCGCAAACGCTGCTTCCGAAAAATCCATCAAACGCACACACCAAACAACACGCACAATAAAAACTTAGTCCATTTAATATCTAAATCATGATTAATTACTCCTGATTCATTAAATTTTCAACGCAAACCTCTATTCCGTAATGCACGATTCGAACGACGTTTATCACTAAATTATTTAACTCCACTGCTATTAATAATTAATAATAAAGATGTACTTTCAGGCAATAATGTTTCACGTGACGTGTCTAGATGATTAGTCACTGTAGTCGGTTACACCGATTAATTTAAGGCAGTGACACACGTGCGGTTTAACCGCTGGCGCTAGTTGCAGCTAGAGCAAAACCGCTGTCTTACGAGAAGACATGCAAAGCCTTATCACTATTTGCGGTTACATTTTTCAGCTCATCAGCCACGCAATTCGTTTAATTCGATGTATGTACACGATCTATAAAATATTTCCGCCTATGACCGGTTTAATGGATATATTGGTGCAAAATCGAGAGGATTCTAATTTGATGAAATCATTTTTACAACGAATTTTTACTCAAATTTTTGTAAAGTACACAGAATTAAATACAATCAATTATTCTGTACGTCACTCGTGTTGTTTGTCTGATTATATGATACGAGTGGTGTTAATTGAGCCAAAACGAGTGTAATTTCAGACAATTTCTGCAGACATTATATGTTAAAGCAACAAAAAATTAAACTTATTACATTTCCAGTTTCGAAAGTTTTATAATAACTGACATCAAGTGGTTGAATATCGTCCAACTTTCATCGCCCAGTAATTAGAATCCCCGATATAGACCAACTTCCCATGTCAAATTGGATTGGATACAACTAATTAAAACGGAACTGTCACCTCCCAAAAGTGTGAAAAGCACGTTGCAAACTGGTTTACTTGTTATTAAACACAGAAATCAATAAAAGAACGGTGGAACAAGCAATGCCATTAGCACACCCAACGGGACAAACCCGTTTCATTTTTATTCGATTTAAATTGAAAATTTACTAACCATAGTCGAAGTAGATTTCCTGCTATTTTCTTTCAGAGACTTTTTATTCATACTTTATTGCTGGCAATTTCTCGGAAAAAATTTAAGAATCCACCCCACGCGTCTCCTTTTTATCACCCGGTACTTTTGTTGTATATCAGCCGTGTTATATTGATTTTCAAATTTCAATAGTAACTTAGGTTCTTTTGTGTGTATTTTGTGGTTATCATCAAAACGTTTATTCATAATACTGACGTATTTTATAGCGCAAACACTAAATTTCGTGTTTGACATATTTGCGCTTGAAACAGTTTCAGGCAATTTCCTGCAAAAGTTCCATTTGATGTAAGATTGAAGCGTCATGTTCTGTGCATATACGGATGTATACAAAATGGGTGCAGTTTTATACCTAACCAAAATAAAAAAAACACCAAAACTGCATTAGCACACGTTCAGGTGTCTCGTGATAAATGGCATCAAGATGCAATACTAGCTGGCCTTCCTTGTTCCCTATATTAAAAAATATATACTAAAATAGTATGAAAATCCTTGTACAATTCCCTAATTTTTACTGTAATCAATGAAATTACACCACTTCTTGATTTTCAAGAAATACTCATCTCCGAAGGTGTGTAACCTTTACTACAAACATCTCGTTCACTTGTAAAAACATCATATGGCACTGGCATTTTGTGTACACAGGGAAATATTTTTTCCTTTGACAAGTAAATTAATAAATACTTTTATTTGTGCTATGGTTAATGAAAAGTTGATAAAGCACTCCGTTTAATCTTTTTTGTTTTTGCTTTTGGAGAGTAAATGACTTACTTATATTATCTGAGAATATGAAACGGACTAGCACTAATTTAAAAATGAACTTGCTCACTTGCTTATTGGGGTAACGTACTGTAATTTGACTCCGTATCTGACAAGCCCATTGTTTAATAAATTTTTAATACCATTTCTGGTCTGAAGTTTTTTTTTTTTTGAAAATGGCGTATTTTTAAAAGGCCATTACCAGTAATTTGTTTACATCGTAATAAAAGTACATTCGTAATTTTGTTTGCAAATTCTTTATCTGGGAATGCAATTTCCTATGAAATAATATGCGGCCCCGTAACAAATGACATTTTAAAGTTTTGGTTTAATTTTTAATGGTTTAACGGTTGTTAAAATTAATTGCATTCTGCTTTGTTTCAGATAAAATAATTGCATTCAAGATTCTGCATCGCTCGTCTGAAATGCTTTGAAGCAGAGCAATTATTTAGGTAAGTTATGAAAGATTAGATGAAAATATCGAGTTAAGCCTCGGAACATCGATTCGGAAGATATCCTAGTCTAGCTGCTGACATTTCCATCATTATCAGACGAACGTAGATACCTGCAAACAATGAGCCATGAATCTATCAAAAAGCAGGATTTTGAAACGTTTCTGTAACATGTAATAGAGGCAGCATGTATGCTCTTTGTTGTCTTCACGTCTTCTTTAAAGGCGTTTCACTTCTTTTCCAAACCGATTTGAGAGCACTACACAACTAACGGCAGCGTTGTTTTCCGCGTTCTTTAAGTTTTTTTATTCCAAGCCACATGTTTTCAACGTCACCGAATGTTTGTTGCTTTTTCTGAAAGCTTTGTTATGAAGCTTGGAGGAAATGCGACGGAAACTCTTTTACTCTCTTTTGATGACAATTTCGCTCCATTTTGAAATTAGACGAAACATGTTTCAGCGAATTCGGTTTAATTTAGATAGATTTGTTGAGAATTTTACTGAGATTGTGCAGGTGATAATGTTTTCAATTAGGAGATTTCTTCGGTGATTATAAAAGCGTCTGTGCTAATTAGGACACTTTTATTCAATTATAGGGTCCGGGTAGATGTTAATGAGCGGCGGGAAAGTGTTTGAAGCACTTTACAACTTCTGAAGGGTTTTAATTTTATTTGAAAAACTGATTTTAGTAAGTTTGCTACAAAAATACCAAAAAGTTTGAAAACATTAAACTTGATCTCTTCAATTTTGCTATTGGTAATTGCACAAATATATAGATAAAAGCGTTGTTCACAATTTTATTTAAAGTTTAAATTCTGTCGTTGGGTCGATAAGAACATTTTGGATGGCTTGGCAAGTTTGCGGTGTTTCTTTTTGCTAGTCGACAAGAATTTGATTCACATTCCGCGCGGGAAACTTGCGAGGTGACGAAATTAAAAAGAAGTTGACGAGAAAATCTAAAGATAAATAAAGTGGCAAAAGAATGATGCATCGACTTTCTATAAATTGGAACCGTCAGAGTCTACATCCAAAAGATTACTTCTACACTCTAGTATTCTCTTTCCGCTCACATAATTCCACCCTTTGCCCTCTAATTCGCATTTAAGTCACGTTTAGACAAAAATAACGATTGATAACAAGAAAGCGAATTGGCCATCTTTACGGCGTCGTAAAAATGAAATGACATTCTGGCGTGAATGAATAAAATATAAAGTCGGAACGGAAACCGAAAAATTTTTTTCATATCTAAATTTTATAAAGGCGTCGATTGATAGAGAAAATACACATGCGAAATTCTACTTCACGACGTTTCTATCTGCTGTCATGGCGTGCTGACAATATAACAATAGCCGTGTTTCACCCTTCGCTGCGAGGGGGCGTAAACCGCTTCGCATAATAACTCGCACAATTTCCGGTTTACCCCTTGGGACTCTGCTAAGCCGTCACACGTACGCCCCTGAACAAACGGCTCGCTACCATGTATTAAATTTTAAACCATTATCCTACATTCTTGCCGGCTAAGACCAAACGAGCACGCGCTTTTTTCTGAGGCGATTTAATTATTTAAATTTCTCTCCCGAATCTAATTGCCTAACATAATCTTCCACTCTGCAAATACATATATTTATTTCTTTAATAAATCTAATGCATATTTATGGGCTGCTATTTCCAAAAGCTCCGTTCGGTCTCTTCAGATGCCATAATTAATAAAATTAGCAAAACATTGCACCGTCAATATTTTGAGAGGACCAATGCTAATTGAGGCCAAATTGTTTACTACATGCTACATTAAGTCTATCTTCGTAGCCTATTAAAACATGAATCCCAGCTTGAGTTTGCTTAAACCAGAACTTCCTGTATGGTTCCCCGAGGCTCTATTTGGACATATGTCGACTCGAGGAAGCCCTCCAAGGGCACGAAATATACTGTTTCAAAGTGAGGGGACATTAGGATAATGTCTTAAGAGGAAAGATTCGGTGACATTTCCAACGAATATCACGCACAGCTAATAAAAGTGTCTCCACTTTTGCACTAGTATTTTTTTCCACTGTCTTAAGAATTGAATTTGTGGAGTAGTCGGACCGATGAAAACGACGCATATAACACGTGAAAATGGCATTGGAATCGTTCGAACGTTATTCTTCCAATAAATTGTGCTAAAATTGCCCTCTTGACTGTAAAGCAGAAATATTCCTGCTGTTATAGTTTTCCCTGCGTACTTTTTATTACTTAAAAAGGTTTTGATAAATGTCTGTTTGTGAGTTTGCAACAAATTGGACAAGTTTTAATTTCGTTTTTGGTGACTTGTTTATCTCATTGCTGCTTTTACGTCCGCCCATTAAGTTCAAATAACAACCAGATGTCACTACAAAAACAGAAATGTATAGATTATCATCAGATCCAGACGAAATTTATAAAAAGGCCGAAATGCGTTTTAGAACACAGTAGATTTAACACGGGAGAGTGTTAATAAATCCGACAAGATAAAAAAGAGATGATTCCATCCGGTTGACTTTTTAAATCTATGACGAATCTTTTGTCTGTATAAACTGACAAAACATACGTTTCCTTTAGCTCTCATAAAATGTTTTCATATGAGATCCAATTTGATACCTAAACCGGTACAGCTTATTTATTCAACATTAAATTAATATTCAACTTTTAATTTAATACACGCAATTAGTTACAGGTTTAGGACTTTAAATATACTGGAGATTTTAAAAATGATTCAACAGTAGAGTAAATTTTACAGTCGTCATTAAGTGTAAATAAAGGTTTTTGCCTATTACATTTTTATTTTGTATAATCCGATTAAAAAAAATAGATTTGAGGATGCCACGAAATAGAAATGTTAAGAAAAGGTTATTTGACCTACGCCATTAAAATTCTTGCAAACAAAATTGCAGTTGAAACTTTTATATTCCAAATGATTTAAATTTGGCATTTATAACACTAGGCCTGGAGTTTTTTTTTCAAAAGTTTATTTGCCAAAGGAAAATAAGCGGAGGTATGGTTTTCCGCAAAGTTAGCATCTCTATATACCGATAATCCTATCAGTTTCGTATTTAGCGAGTTAATTATAAAGGTCGTATTCCCAATATCCTTCCGCAATCAGTTAAAATGGTCTTCTGAATTGTTAGTTTGCAATCTATTTAGCTCGTGGCTGCTTTTCTATTACTTATCATGCTTTGTGTGACAGTTATTAATAATAAAATGTAATTTTATTACCACCTTCGGGGATTTTGCGCTAGTTAGATTCGATAAACAATATTATTAATGTATTAAGCGGCCACATTTTGTAATTTTTATTAAGGAACAACTTCAATGGTGGCCAGTTTGAAAAAATATTTCTCTTACACGCTCTCACCGTTTAATTCGGAAGCAAATAACAAAAAATTTCAGCTACAGGATCAAACTTCTCTGTTTCTTGCAACTCTCTGTTAAAGCTTAAAACTTCGCTCATCCTTTTGTTTATTTTTGTACAAGCTTAATCTAGAAGAGACGTGCATTGATCGCAAGGGCTGTAGGAAAAAATCGTAGGGTATGCAGGACCACGGACTCTTAACTGAAGCTTCCTTTGTTATTCCTGACCCTCTGTAGCAAAAAGCACGGTCTGTGGAAGCGGGATATTTTTCTCATCTTAGGGAAAAACATGATTCTTCTTAAGCAATTTAAAATTTTCAAGAGACTTGTTGACTCAATGTCTAATAACAAGGCGTGAGATCTAAAACATGGTGTCACACAATTAAGGATTTTTTACGATGCTGAAAAATGATTGAGGGAAGTTTTTGCCGCTTCATCGGCGGATGTTCTTCATTATAGTGTAGGTGTATTGAAACCAGTACAATTTTGTCCTGGCTGTGAGAATAAGACATTGGAAAATAAAAAGTAGCATGGCATTGGGTGGACCTTTCTCTGTGCATCTAATATTAGGGGAATATGCTTCCACAAAGACAACCAATTTAAGAAATATCTTTTATGCTGAAAGAAAGGCAAAACGAATTTAAGCGGGTCGAATTTTCTGTTGTTTGTTGCTCCTTGTTTTTCTTTGTTAGCGACTACCTGGCATTTGAATTTTGTATTATGAATAAATAAAACGTTTCCATATCAGAGTTCAATAAGCTTCTTTCTTTTGCACATACCAACGTAAACTAATATTGTGGTCATCTATTTTATATATCTACCGTTCCTTATTTTTGTGTGCGTATCGATTTGCAAGTACTACGAGTATGTACATAAAAGAGAACAATTTTGCTAAAAATGTTTTTCATTATAAAAATTGCTCTGGAAATAAAACGCCTTTCTACATGAAATGAGGAATTGTCCTGGAGCGAAAACAAATGAGAAAATAATTTAATCTTTTTATGAAATTTGTGTTTTTATTGTAATTTGAAATTTGCATATTTATATAAACACAGGCATGTTCTTTATTGTAAATTCGCATAATCAACATGAAATAATTTTACTGGAAATAAACATGTTTTTTTCAGGAGGATTAACACTTATGCAATTAGCATGAATAAATAACCAAAAATTATTTATCATCCCTCGATATTTTAACAACCTTGTCAGTGTTGTTATTCTTTAGATTCTTGTAACTCTTTATTGCCATTATGTAAATAGTCACTCCGAAGAGTGTAACTGAAAAGTAACTGAGTAGTTTGATCTGGAATGTAAATATTAAACTTTTCACAGAAAGGCGATAAAAGCTTTTGATTTCTGTGTTTGTTTGACTGACGTAAAACGCGATACGTCTACATACACAATAGACGTGAATATAAACCAAAAAATAACAAATTTTATAAAAACGAATAAAATAAATAGACTAGCAAAGATTTGTGTGTATGTATGCATGTAAATCGAACTAGAAAGGGTTGACGGATAGGTAAAATAAACCAAACGTTGATTTGAACACTATTTGTGAAATCCTCTTTTCATACTTTTTCTTAAAAAGTTTTGAAATTTCAAATGTATATTTAACGTATGCTTTTTTTCAATTTG